TGACAGTGTCCTTGAATAGCCTTGCCCTGACCCTTCCTTGCCTTTTCCTCGTCATAAAGAAAAAAAAAAGGCCAGAATGTTTTTTGTGTGCCTTAATTTGGATAGAAATCTTGACTGAAATTATCAGAACTCATTTGTAAGAGGGTGAACTCTCTTCTCTTTACCTGTAGAGGGAAGACGGGGCTGATGGTGTACAAGTCTGGGTCTGTGCCGACGAAGTTGATGGAGGAGAAATGCAGCTTCGGCCGTAGGCAAGTGGTCAGACCCACGCCGGGCAGGGAGTGGGCCTTCTTGGTGTCGGGATAGAGGCTGATGGTGAGCGTCTCCCCGGTCATGGGGACGATGAACTCCCTGTTGGTGCCCAGCCGCGCCCGCTTGGCCGACTCCAGGTGGATGCTGATGAGCAGGTCGTAGTAGCCGGAGCGGAGCGGGCCGGGCAGGTAGGTGTTCTCGGTGGCGTAGAAGAGCTGCGACTCGTCCACGTGGCTGCACAAGGCGTGCGCCACCCGGTTGTTGCCGAGCGCGCACACGGCGCAGTAGAGCATGAGCGTGTGGTAGTGGAACTTCAGGAGGTCCAGACGCTCCGACAGCTCCAAGATGTCGATACACCTGCGTGAAAAGGTCAGAGATGGAGATACGATTACAAGTCCACATCTATCCATCCATCCATCATCTTATTAGCTTAATCCCTAATGGGGTCATGGGGAGAACTGGAGCCTATCCCAGTAGCCAATGGGGAGAGGCGGGGTCACCCTGGACGGTCCCCAGTCCATCACAGGGACACACAGAGACACACAAGGACCAACAACCACACACACTCACACTAAGGGCAGTTTGGAGTCCAACCAACCTAACAGGTAGCAGGTTTTTGGACGGTGGGAGGAAGCCGGAGAACCAGGAGAGAACCAACAGACACAGGAGAACATGCAGACTCCACCCAGAAAGGTCCTGGTTCCCCCGGGACTCCAACCCAGAACCCTCTGGCTGTGAGGCAACGGTGCTAACCACCCCACCACCGTGCCGCCTAGAAGTCCACATTACGCAGTAAATCTAGTTGATTTGCCTGCTGTAGGTTTAAATGAGAGTGCGTAGCGTTGTGGGATCCCTGGCCAAGAATTAATGGGAGACAGAGATGAACAACAAAACAATAAACTGATCGGCTTCTTTTGTTTGAGTCAGAAGCTTAGTAGCTCCTTGGGTGAGCTGGATTGTAATGAGGTTCTCTCTGTCAGCATCTACAGAGCAGATCGATCTGAAAATGCTCACAAATAGACTCCAACGCTGTCATTTCAGCAGACTTAAGTCTTAAGTCTTGGCTGGCATTTTGACCTGATGAGGCCAGAATCTGACCTGTTCTCCTCGGGGATGTGCAGGGCCATCATGATGAGGGGTTCCGTGCACTCCACCATCCAGCCCATCCTCTCGCTCACCCGGCCCACATCTGGATTGAGGAAGTGATTGGGCATGCGGCTCCAGATGACCGGGGTCAGCATCTGGACGTCCAGCCTGGGGGGGCACTGGGGCACCGGGTTGTTGCGCTCGCTGCGGAACATGGCGGCCGAGATGGGCATGATGTTCTGGAGCGAGAGAGGCAAAGGAGGAGAGGGTCGCCATCGAAGCCCAGGGCAAATATGTTTACAGCAAACAGGTGAGTGGAATAAGAGGGATTAGACCCACAGGGGGAGACAGAAACCGCCACCATATCGCTACTGGTTATGTTATAAATGCACAGACGGTTTCATACTAAAGAATTCAACTGGATTCATGATTAATCATAAAGATTATTCCACCATTTTTTAGTGAAAACTGTGAGTTATCCTAGTAGATCCTAGTTAATTGGTGTCTTATAAGAAAAAATTCTTAAAAACTGAAAATACACTGGTTATCCCTGGCTGCCTCCATCAAATTCAAGTCCCTGATTCTGGGCTATAAAGTGCTTAAGGGTTTGGCTCCCGTCTACTTGAACCCTCTTGCAAAGGCTCATGTCACAACTCGGTCACTCTGGTCATCAACAGGTTGTCGTCCAGCAGAGCTGCTCCACGTTAAGACAATCAGACTGTTTTCATGTGTTGTTCCAAGATGGAGGAACGACCTACCAAGCACTACAAGAACAGCAATGTCCCTTTCTATCTTTAGGAAACTCTTCAAAGAGTATCTCTTATCCTAACTCTTACCTCTGGACCCTCTACTGCTCTTTCTGGGATCTCTATTGCTGTCTCCACTGATTCTGACTGGGGATTTTCCTCTAGAGAACTTATTGTCGGATTGATGATAAATGTAAAATTGTGTCTACTTTGTAAATCGCTTTGGATAAAAGCATCTGCTAAATGCATAAATATAACCATAAATACTTTAAAAAGACACACTCGACTGGGATTGAGAGCCAACAAGCAGCCGTTGGGGGTTCTGACCTTGAGCTTTCCCAGCTCCAGCTGTGCCATGTTCTGGCTGGTGGGCTGGATGAAGACCGCGGGGAAGAGTTTGGCGTTGGGCTCCACCTGGAACGACACAGCTCCACAGTGAGGCAACGCTAACGACAGAGGACCGAAGCGGCCACAGCGGCCGTGGGCTCTCCTGACCTGGTAGAAGGTGTTTATCTCCTTCCCATTGGCCGTGAAAGTCATGAGGCCGGTCGCCAGGTCCACCAGGCATCCGACCACCATGTCCTCCTGGCTGAAGCGAGTCTGCTGGTTGCTGACCAGGTCCCCTCCCCAGACCATGTAACAGTTACTGTGCTTCATGCTGAAAATGAGAAAACAAGCCACAAACATGCTTTATTAGCAAACTGACCGTGATTTCTCTCTTTAGAAAGTACAAACACAAAAAAGTTTGCGAATGCCTTAAAATTTTTGCATCTTTAGATGTTCACTCTAAGCTTACACAGGGTTGGTGATCCTGTGAAATGCTACAAAAAGCACCCTAACATGTGTATAGAATCATAGCACAGGGGGAGGTGGGTAAAAATAAACATTTTATATCTATTCTGGGACTTAAAGACCCCGGATCTGCCCCAGAAGAGGGCAATTCGATTTGGAAATACAGAAAAGACAACGGTCACAGCATTGTGAAGGCGGGTGAAGAGGGGAAGCCCAACCTGTCATGTATGTTGCCTCTGTCGTCTCCCACGGTGACGGTGACGTTCCGCACCTTGGAGAGGTCAAAGGTCGGGTCGTACTGGTGGTAGTCCGGGGTGACCCAGCCAATCCACACGGCGGAGGGCTCCTGCCCGGCGAAGATCCTCACAGAGTAGTAGTACTGGGAGGGAGAGGGGATTTATGATGAAACCTGTGTTTCTGTGTGTGTGTGTTAGTGCGTGTTTGTTTTCATGATATATCAGGACAATTTTGTGAAATCACACCTCAATATCAGGACGCGTAGAAATATGAGGACATTTTTCACGTCCTCATTTTTCTGAGCATACTAGAGTGTTCCAGAAGCCCAAAAAATGCCCCTAATGAAAACACGTTTGTGTGTGTGTGTGTGTGTATGTTTGTTTTCATGATATATCAGGACAATTTTGTGGGTACACACCTTCAATATCAGGACGCGTAGGAATATGAGGACATTTTTCACGTCCTCATTTTTCTGAACATACTAAAGAGTTCTATAAGCCCAAAAAATGCCCTTAATAAAAACACGTATGTGTGTGCGTGTGTGTGTGTGTGTCAGGGATGTGACCCCTCACAGTGGTGGTGTTCAGAATGATCTCCGGGTCGTCCCTGTCGTCGGGAACCACGTCTTCCACCAATCGAGGCACCGTCGGGGGGGCGGGGGGAGGGGCAAGGGGCGTCATGGCAACCTTCTTGGCTTTGGAGAAAAACCCCTTTTTCTTTCCCTTCTCTGAGGCCGAGTCCTTCTCGTTCTCGATGGAGATCTCCTTGGCCACGGAGGGCTCCTTTTTCTCCTCCTCTTGCTCCTTGCGACTGGCCGACTTCTTCAGCACCTCGAACTCGGAGTCGGGCTCCACCACGACCACCTCCTCCTCCGGGATGGTCAGGGCCCGGGTGAGGGGGGTGGTGCCGGCCGTGATTTTGAAGGTCTCGTGGAACTGGACGGGCATGCTGAGTCTGAGGAACATCATGTCGGTGTTGGCGTTCTGAGACCCGAAGGTCTTGTGGGTCAGCTTCAGACGGGGGGCGCTGTCCACAGCCCCGTCCCCTCGGGACACCGGGGGGGGGGGGGGGTTAGAGATTGTAAGGAAGGCAACCATCACCTGTTTTTAAAAGCACAGATTAGCCAGCTGACCAGGTTTAAGCATTTTATTAAGTTTGGGGGTGTTTTAAGTAGGGTTGTCACAATACTAAAATTTTCAACTCGATACCGATACTCAGGAAAATACTTGATACTCGATACCATTTTCGATACCACAAAGATAAAACAAAGACCCCAAAATTTAACTGAATTTTGACAGGTTAGTATCTTTCATTTCAAACTGACCTGTTACTGATTTTATCGTGACTGGTGGCCCGCTGTGGTATCGATACTTTTGAAAATGAGTACCGTATCCGGATACAACATTTTAATATCGATACTTTTTTAAGTATCGATACATTTGACAACCCTAGTTTTAAGGCAGCTTCTTCTCAGCTGATGTTGACCTGTTTCAGTAATAAATCAAATCGATAAAATACAACTGTGACAATTAATCTTTGGAATAGTGAGTAAATATATTGTTTCCCAGTTCGTTGAGACTCTGTCTCTTCTTCTGCTGGGTGTTCAGGCTAAAATACTAAAGGCTAAAGGACTGAACACCTTTTTAAAGGGCCTGGAAGAGACCATCGCAAAATTGGAGGGGAGAACTAAACTTTGCACTTTAATGATTAATGTGATAACTTTATTGTTAGGTGTAGAAATGCATTTCAGATATTAGTGATACCTAATGTAGCCACCTATAAAAAGGTTGCTGGTTCACATCCCCTCACTGGAGGTTTCATTTCCTAACTGGGTCTGCACCTTTTCTCTGACTCACACCTCCTGATTTATTCTGATTTAAAGTTTGTCTATAAAGTTACCTCGATGTGATTGTGGTCGGTGGGAACTGGTACAAACTGGGGCAAGCTTTTGCTGAACCACATGGTGATGTCTCTCTTCATATTGATGGCGAAAGGTTCGAATCCCTCCTGCAGACCGCATATGGCAAAGTAGCGCAGGCTGCTGACGTTCTGGCCCAGGTTGATTCGTCCAACCTGAGACAGGCCGAGCGCGCACACGGGGATGAAACCTGCAGGAAAAGGCCAGAAAATTATCAAGAGAGAGCAAAATATATTTTCCTTTCTCTTCAGGTCTGATCGGATTAAGCCGGATGTACACTGTGCTATTATATTTCCAATTGTTGCTCGTAGCTCAAACTGCACCACCGAATCGTAGGGGTCAAAGGTCGCAGCTCACGATTTCTGTTGTCACTATATGTATGACCCGATATGAGATCTGACCTCACATCGTACGTCCAAAACCGCACGTCAGACTTGAAATAGAGGACAAAGAAGACGAAGTCGAACAACACGGAAGGGACATGAGGGTCACCAGAGCTAAAATCTGCTTTGTTGATTTGCCGAAAGCTTTCAAACGAACAGAAGACGGCCTGTTTGGACCATTTGGAGGAAACGGCTGTGAAGACGGGGCGGCACGGTGGTGTGGTGGTTAGTCGGCTGGTTAGTCACAGCAAGAAGGTTCTGGGGTTGGAGTCCCGGGGGAACCAGGACCTTTCTGGGTGGAGTCTGCATGTTCTCCTGTGTCTGTGGGTTCTCTCCGGGTTCTCCGGCTTCCTCCCACCGTATAAAAACCTGCATGTTAGGTTGTTGGACTCCAAACTGCCCTTAGTGGGAGTGTGTGTGGTTGTTGGTCCTTGTGTGTCTCTGTGTGTCCCTGTGATGGACTGGGGACCGTCCAGGGTGACCCCACCTCTCCCCATTGGCTACTGGGATAGGCTCCAGTCAAAAAGGGGCAGAAATCGCACAGTGTACGTTCAGCTTTAGATAAACGGCCTTTAAATGAACGCTCACCTTCTCCGATTTCGATGTCTTTGAAAGCCATCTCGGAGCCCGAGTCGCTGATCAGCATTTCCCCGTTCAGCGTGAACATGATGTTCATCTCCGTCAGGTCGATCATGCAGCCGACCACATCGCCGGACAGCCACTGCCGGCCAAACGGCTCGTTGCCCACGTGCCATCTTTGAGCCTAGAAAGAGTCACAACAGAAGATAAAGTACAGCTTTAAATCAAAAGAAATAGATACAAATACAGCATTGATGTGTCATCTGATTACTGCCTTCATGGACACATCATTTCCAGGGAAAAAACACATTTAGTTTTTTAAAACTTCCTCTTCTGTAAGTGTTGCAGGACTGACCCGAAGGAAAAGTAAGAATCCTCTCAGAAAAACAGGACTGGGATAGATGGAACAAAGTGAAGTGGCCCTCTTTTCAAATTAATAAAATTGTGGAAGGTTATCCTCCCAGTCTCATTTCAACTGGATTAAACTTAATCAAATTTTAAATAAATACCCCAAAAAACATATTTCTAAATAAATGAATATAACAATAATAATAATAATAATAATAATAATATCATAGTAATAATAAATGAATATAATAATATTAATGTTTGTTATTATTATTATTGTTATTGTTGTTGTTATGATAATAATAATAATAATATACATTTTCATAACCATTGACTACTGGGTTAGGTTCCAGTCCCCCCCATGACCCCATTAGTGAATAAGCGATTATGAAAATGGATGGGTGGATAAATATTTTTTAAATAAATAAACTTCATAAACCGACCTTGTTGCCGTTGAAGACATAGGCCAGCTCGTCGGCCCCCAGCTCGGTGTCGGAGCGTACGCTGGGCCGAGCCCAGCCCACCCTCATCTCCCCGGTGGTCACCGCCTCAAACTCAAAGTACCACTTCCCCTGGGTCACGGCGTACGACCGCTCTGCCCGGAAGATCCGCACCTTGTCCCCCCGGGTGTTCTCCAGGCCGTGGCCGGCTGCAGAAACACAGGTTAGGTGGGGTTAGGAGGGGTTAGGAGGGGTTAGGGGGGATGTTGCTAAGGCTCCAGACACCAGCTAAAGCCATTATGAAGCCATCTGATTGGTGCGTTCAGGGCCATCTGACTCACTGCTCTCCTGGTCGGGGGGCTCGATGTTGTAGCCGTAGCCAATCAGGGTGCGCACGGCGTTGTTGACGCTGTCCCGGTTGGTTTTCTTGGTCCGCTCGTCCAGCAGGTTGTACGGCACCAGACGAGGGTTTCGCCTATTGACGATGTCCTGAGAGGGATGAGAGCACAACACAACATTTAATGCTAAAAATCCAGTTTTGCACAGTCGGATTTACCCGATACCAGCAGGCAGGAGACCACCGACACTCATTCTGACTTATCCCACAGTAATAAATTATGATTATTTTCTTTCAGGGTTTTTAAAGGGCCTGTAAGCACTTTTCTGTTCGTAGAGCATAAACACCAGGGAAAACACATCCCTAAAGTAGAGTGTAGGGAGGACAGAAAAGGAGACGTTCATGGTATGGACCAAACATTTTCTAGCTGTACGTCCAGAGGAAGACGATCTGGTGGAGGACCAAAAAAGGATAAGGTTTATGATATGGATAGAACCATATTCAGGCTGCACGCCTGGATGGAAAAAGCCTGACGTAAGACAAATGTACAGATATGGGAATACTAAATATAAGGGCAGACAAACACAGAGTTACGCAGCGTTTTGTCTGAGACCTCTCCAGACTTTATGCGTCAATCTGAATTTCTGACTGGGGCCTGGCTGACAATATGATCCTCTTTTTCCCACCAATTCTGCCTCAGTTTTTCCTGCAGCATATTTAAAGGCAAAGATGGTAAATCTAAACAGATTAGATCCACCAAACAAATAAAGGAGTTAGAAAAAGCCACCTGGACGATGCTGTAAGTCCATCCCTGCCGCACCCGGTCTCTCGCCCAGACATTGTGACCGTTTTCTGCCAGTTTCTCCACCAGCTGGTTCTGGTTTGGCGTGAGCTTGACGTGGTTCAGGTCCAGGGGGGCGGGCTTGTAGCCGTTGGTCATCACGTATCTGGAGAACAGACGAGCTCACTTTCAGACAGAAATTAAACGAATACGGAGTATAAAAAGGTATTCGTCTCTTTACGTCTTGGGAAGCTTGATCTTCTTCAGATTCTCCTCTGCTTTCTCGTCACCCATGCCAACATGGCAACCCAAAGCCAGGAGAGTCCTGCAGGACAAAACATGTCACAAACAGAGTCCAGGGGCACCCCCCCCCATTTTAAGGTAATACAAAGTCAGACATCCACTCACTTGAGAGTCTCTCCAGACATCTGGAGGTTGTAGTTCCTCTCCGGCTCAGGCAGGCTCAGGAAGTCCACCAAACAAGGGTGGAGCTTTTTGTTATCGTCTCTGAGCTGTGAGGGGAAAAAAAGCATTGTGGGTCTCAAAAACTTTAAACTTATTGATCTAATTATGCGATGATCAGCTGAGTGGACCAGTCCTTAGTTTCCCCACATGAGACTGAACATTAAAATGATGATTTGAACCAATGAAGACCTTCAGATGGATGAATTTAATGCCTAATCTGAAGGACCCCATTAGGGAATAAGAGGTAACGATAATGGATGGATGGATGGATGGATGGATGGATGGATGGATGGATGGATGGATG